GGTAATGTCTTCCGGCTTCCGGCTTCCTAGATATGACAGGAAAATGCAAATCCGCGTACAATCAGGTGTCGGAGTATAGTGACTAAATAACGAGGAATCATAACCTTCGTTTAGCGGGATGGATAAATGAGGATATATTTTATTAAGTTTATTGGATACCCCGGACCCATGCTTAAATATGTGCCTTAAAATCGCCTAAAAGTGAAACTCACATCTTTCTATGTCATGTATGATGATTTTTAAAAGAATCAGTACAAAAATCTGTTTTGCATAGTTCTACTCTTTCAAGTAACTAAAAGTCGTTTTCTTCTTTTGTAATAGCTGCAACTAATCTCCTCACAATAACGTTAATTCATCGGCTAAAGATCATCAAAATACTAAGTTGGTCATTCACCGGCTAGCTGAGCAGGAAATAGCAGCTAGCAGCTCCCACTCTAATGAAGAAGATCGTCTATTATATTATTATTGCTGTCTATTATCAGTTTCTTCCCTTTCCAATGAAATAAGACGATATTGATGTTACTAAAATTACCGCTCCAAATAGCATTGGATATAAAAACGCGCGCTTGCTTTTGCCGGTATAATGTGTAAACACGTTGGGCAAGGTTCTCAGTTGATCTATAGTCAAACCCTCGCATGTGACCGCATATCCTTGATAATTAGTTTTAGAGCATTGAGGGTTTGCCTTATCTACATGTCTCCCATTGTACACTAGACCGGTTCATAAAACAAAAATGTTCTTGAATAATTATGAGTATGTTCTTATCTGTTGATCCCTAGGTTCAAATACCACCAAAAAAAATTTCAAGTTCCAACTCTTCCATCTTAGTCCCGCTCCGGCCACGCCCATATTTTTTACCAAATTTTAACAGGTAAAATTCTCTATATCGTCAATTTAGTCACGAAGGAGTATAGAAGGAGTTCTAAATGTATGTTACTTCAATATAAACAGTAGGAAAAGGTTTACTTTGGTCGAGGTTTTAAGTCTCTACGATGTCGGGAAGTTCCCGCATGGAGTTTGCGGGTTGCGCTGAATCGCGGAATTCACTGCGCAAAAACGGAAGGTCGTAGAGACATGAGATCATGACTAAAGTTAACCATTTTCCACCATTGCTATTAGAGCATGACACTTCCAGAACCTTAAACACACTCCTTCATCCCTAAATCGGTAGTTATGTGAATTTTGCCTGTAAAAATATATCATGTTTTACTGATATCAACTAACATTGTTAGCTTTTAAATCAAAATAAATCATAATGCCCCCTACAAATTGTACACACAGTACGAGAATATATAGAAAGAAAGGTCTTCCTTGAATTTCACATTGAACTTTGATCAGATTCTGGAATCGCTCATCATTTCTCGATTGTTCTCCGATGAAGTCAGCACTGCCAAAAACCAAGTCTATCTAATCCAGAACCTGCTGACTCAGCAGGTTCTGATTTAGATAGACTTGGTTTTCGGATCTCCGTATGTTCAGAAGCGGGCCAGAAGGGATTCAGTTACCAGAGGAATATCTTCGTGGAACAAGGAAATTAATGAGGTCTTCATTAAATTTTTCATAATTCGTCACTGACAGGATGAGCATTGACGAGATCCACTGATTACTTCATAGCTCGTCATTGATAAGATCAGTAATAATGAGATCTTATGATTACTTCATAGCTCGTAACTAACTGGACTAGCATAACATGACTAACGACTCGTTAGTAACGAGATCCAATCATCTCTTAATGATACGTCAAGACAAGGTCAGTAAATAACTATAAATATCGAAGAAAGTAGCTTACAATTTACAGAGTTCTAATGCCTTCTTCACAACTATCGGCTATGAACGGAACAGATGAATCTCTTCTTTGGCCTCATCCTTTTGAATGACTCAGTCCCTCAACTAGATACAACTTAGGACTAGGAGGAACTCTCGTAGGATCCTTTAAGAGGAAGTATTCTTTAGTCAGCTAACATTCTTTTGTAGGATGTTACCACTTATCATATCAGTTATCCAGCATAATCCCACTACTCGACCAGCTCATTCTTGAATCTTGAAAGTGACAGCTGCAGCATGAGCTATATTTTGATGGTCGGTCCTCTGGTAAATGAATCCCTTCTGGCCCGCTTCTGAACATACGGAGATCCGAAAACCAATCTAAATCAGAACCTGCTGAGTCAGCAGGTTCTGGATTAGGCAGTGCTGACTTCATCGGAGAACAATCGAGAAATGATGAGCGATTCCAGAATCTGATCAAAGTTCAATGTGAAATTCAAGGAAGACCTTTCTTTCTATATATTCTCGTACTGTGTGTACATTTTGTAGGGGGCATTATGATTTATTTTGATTTAAAAGCTAACAATGTTAGTTGATATCAGTAAAACATGATATATTTTTACAGGCAAAATTCACATAACTACCGATTTAGGGATGAAGGAGTGTGTTTAAGGTTCTGGAAGTGTCATGCTCTAATAGCAATGGTGGAAAATGGTTAACTTTAGTCATGATCTCATGTCTCTACGACCTTCCGTTTTTGCGCAGTGAATTCCGCGATTCAGCGCAACCCGCAAACTCCATGCGGGAACTTCCCGACATCGTAGAGACTTAAAACCTCGACCAAAGTAAACCTTTTCCTACTGTTTATATTGAAGTAACATACATTTAGAACTCCTTCTATACTCCTTCGTGACTAAATTGACGATATAGAGAATTTTACCTGTTAAAATTTGGTAAAAAATATGGGCGTGGCCGGAGCGGGACTAAGATGGAAGAGTTGGAACTTGAAATTTTTTTTGGTGGTATTTGAACCTAGGGATCAACAGATAAGAACATACTCATAATTATTCAAGAACATTTTTGTTTTATGAACCGGTCTATTGTACACGGTGTCTCCCTTTTCATTTTTAGTTATGCTGGTGATCCTTCCCATATTCCAGCGGTCGGAGATGATCCCCCTACAGTTATAGATCCCCTGCACGAAGAGGACCTTGCTTCCTACTCCGATAGTAGCAGGATCCGGTACTTTATCCACGCACAGATTCGTGTAACTTGCCCTCTCCGCAGCCCAATTCCCGTCGGTCCATCTCACCATGTAGTTGCGTTCATTCGGCAGCCAGTTCTCAATATTAGCAGTGAACCAACCGTGACCTAACCAATACACGAATACACGGTCTCCTATTTTTGGAGTGTTGTCTGTATTGGTAGCTGAGGTTGCACTGTTAGTTAGTATTTGTGTTAGTAAGGGGAATGAGGTGTCAGTCTGGCTGCTGAACTCTATGTCAACCAGGCTTCCCTCAAAACCATAGCTCTCCTTCAGCACACTCTCCAAATCTTTTACAATTTTCTCACTTGTCATCGTCGAATATAAAATCACTATGGTTAAAATAGCAAAGTTAAAAATCCATATCGAGGCTATCTGGCTATGAATTGAAATCCGTTCTTATTACTTTATTAGTAATACCGATTTAATTGTACTTTCAAAACAAGGTCAGCCCGCAAAGTTAACCTAATAAATAAGTACATGTTAAAATAGGTGGTTTTAAAATGAAAAGAATAAAAGGTAACACGCAGCTGCAAATTGTAGAAATATAAAATGCCTCGGATCTAAAAAATTTGGTATAAGCTCATTTAGCATTTTAGCCTATAGATAAAATCAGATGCAGAAACATTTTTAGCAATCGTAACATAAACTAATTTATATCAGGTAACAAGCCATTTATTTGGATTCGCACCAACTGCAAGTAAAATCACATTTACAATGATCATCATTGAAAAAAAACGTACAATGTTTATTTAGGAATTGTTTATAATTATATCCACCTTTGTTATCAAAACTGTGTGATGTTATGTGATTACACAATAAGCACGTGTGCTTATTTTCTGACAAAATAATAATTTGCTTGGACATAATGGGAATGATGACGTGGAGATAAGAGGAGATAGGAATAAGCAGAGGGAGCGGAAGGGGTCACGAGGAGCTAGATCGCGAGGAGAGGAGCCCTAATGGCACAATAGTACACAAGATAATATCAATATTTTACTATTATTTCAGGATTTCCCCGGTCAAAAATCCAATCGAATGGCGTTATAGGGTTGTCGAGATACATATTGCATGTCGATATACAGTATGATTACCCTTTATTTCCGTCTTAGTCTCTGTTCTCCAATACTGGATAAGTCCCCCTTCACTTCGTGTTTGTCCCATAGTCCATTGGTCAGTGTTATAAATTTCTGAGGGAATTTTAAAATGTGATCAACTCTATCCGTTCCTCGTGCGCACTTGTCCTCGGATGTCCTTATTGTCCTGTGGCTAAATGTTCGGAACCACCTCCAGCATTTACATAAATCAAGCCATATGCTTGAATTATATAGATTTATTAGCCCTAAAAGCTTAAAAGCAGCCCGATAATCCTTGTTATCTATGTTCTAATCCTATTTAACCTCAATCAATTAATTGCTAAGGCAGCTTGGTAAGTCTGCGGTTCGTTAATATTTTAATAGCACTGTGTCACCAACTCTAACACTCTACACGCGTTACTTATTTCAAGCAATATAAAGCTTGTTAAATTATAAACCATAACGCGATCCTCATATGCTGTGACTCTAAGTTCTAGGTGGTCCTATACAATAGTTGCAATAGATCCTCCTCTGAGTGTATAATTTTACCAGTTAATAGTGAAGTAATTATGTAGTCTGAAACAATTGTAGCTGTTTCAATTGCAATATGATAAAGCCACCTGGTCATAATTTATAATAAATTAATAAGACAGCTTTCATTTTGAATGAGACATAAAACAAGTTCAGGATGAAGGAAGATATTTAAGATTTAGAGCCACCAATTAATTTATAGTTTTAAACCAAAAGAATATACACAAAAAAAAGATATGGCATTATGCAATATTGTAGCCATTTCAGACAAAGTATTTTCTTAAAAAGTGTTTGTTCAATTACTGCTGCTGGTCTCCAGTGCTTTCCCGATTTCACTGTTGTGGTGCTACTCGGACCTTGCTGCTTAACAATAGTTGAAGCACCAGTCCCACCGAGCACTGCCGACTGTGTAGCACCAGGGTAGGCCGTGTCCACCAGGGTCTCTGCAATAGTTGTGATCCCCAAGTCCAACGTCAGAGTAATTCTCAGGGTACCAGGAGTGACTCTTCGGGGACTGTTTGCTCCACTTTTGGCATGTCACCCCATTTATGGTCTCATCCAGCGTTCCCCTGTAGCCCATGCTATCGTGATCCGAGCTAACACATTCCAGTTCGGTTACAGTTTTTGGGGTACATTCGTTGAAGCACCAGTTCCAACGAGTATCTCCAATTGTGTAGCACCAGGGTAGACCGTGTCCACCAGGGTCTCTGCAATAGTTGTGATCACCAAGTCCAGCGTCAGGGTAATTCTCCGGGGTCCAGGAGTGGCTGTATGGATACTGACTGGTCCATTTTTGGCAGGTCGCCCCATTTATTGTTTCAGCCATCTTAGCCCGATAATCTTCACTTTCACCAATACACTTATCTCTTGCAAGCGTGATAACTGCGAATGCACCAACCAAAATGGAAACAGTCAGTATCAACCGTTCCATGGCAATTTACCTAAAAGGATATGGTACAGGGTACTAATCAGTAAGTTAATAACTATTATAGCATATCTATCTAGTTTTAAACTAATTATAACATTACAAATGTATTACATTTATTGAGAATTATGTAATGTAACGTGATGGAAATATTTTAAGCGGGCATACCCTGTCCAAACCCAGGATGCACGACATGAAGAATTTGTTTTAACTTTGTAAGAAAAGCATCAATATCTGCTTATATGTTGTTAAGGGGACATACACCAAAACCTTTTTTGCCGGGACCCTCGATTTGACTTCATATTATGATAAATATAGATAAAAATATAGATAAAAACTTTCGAAAAAATTTGCTACTGTAAACGTTTTGGTGTATGTCCCCTCAAGCATACTCAAGTGTTATACTTATATACTACTGTAAAACAATGTTTTTATCTTCATTCCCTTTATACGCTATATAAATATACATATTTGTAGTTGTGAGATTAATTTAAAACCTCCTCCGATACGTAAAGATATGAAAAGAATTGTATAGAAAAATCGTTATTGGGGATGAAATCATGAATTAGAATACATAATTCAGCCAAGGTTGGAATGTAAGAAAAACAAACAATATGTGCAGATCATAATTAAATATGAACTCATCAGTTTTTATAGTTATACTTTTACAATGGCTGTTGTCCAGGCTTAAAATTTCGTTTGGAATCCAGGGTATAACAATTATTGCTTGTAGGGTCACGAAATTAAAAACTACTAAAAACTAATATAAACAAAAATGCTTATATATATAGGTAATAAAGTAATAAGAGCAATACAGCAAAAGTCGTATTTACAAGATCAGACGTAAAACTTGAATTATCAAAATTTTATAAAGTATTGAGAAATTAGAAAAAGTGCGTTATCCGAATTGGTCTTCGCATGAGGTTGGGGTAAATGGGGGCAAATTATTTTTTCAGTCACTGTAAAGTATAACCTATGATGAGAAGTTCGTAAGGTACGTACTTTTAAAAATAGCTGTACCGTACGTACTAATAAAATTGGTTATAAAGTACGATAGATGGGATTTCGATGGAAGTCCGACTTTCGCGACAAAATAATAACAGGAACACTTGAAATGGTGCTACGGGCACCTAAACTTATGTCGCCGCATTCTTAATTCCATTATTAGAATAGTATGACTGTACGTACTCCTATTGGGTATAATTACAGTTATATATATATATATATAATATTATTAATTTATTTATTGTCTTAAAAATTGTTTAATTCGATTTTAGCATTCGCTGGCACCAAAATCGTGGTTTGAAAATTGCAGCCAATTTTACAACAATAGAGAAATAAGGTAAAAAAGCCGGGTACGGTACGTACTTCTCATCTTAGATTATAACCAAATTATGAAACTGTGACGCAAATCGGGTTTATCTCTACCCTTGGCCTAAATCGATTAAATATTTCCGGAAATATATTCAAACTCAAAATTAATCTAAGAGGAATTCTCACTGCATCACATTTCAAAATGTTTAATCAATATAGAAAATGTGGTTATCCAAAGCAATTACAACAATATTTGTATGAAAGATCTGAGTTACACACTAGGTGTTATTGCACGATTAACTCCATAAATTCAGCTTATTTTGAATCTAATAAGTTGGATGACTCGTTATCTTATCAATATAAGGTTTTAACGTTTTAACACTTAATTAATCAATGGCCAAAGGTGAATATAATTGTGCTGCTTATCCGTCTCCACAACGTTCGATAACTCGATCAGATGGTTAATTAAACTGCTATCTGGCGGTTTATTAGACCTGTAATCGTGAACAATATGATAATCACAATAGAAAATATGTTCCTCACAACTTGCACTTATCTGGTTGATCACGCCTCTTTTCACGCCTCTTCTCACGCCTCTTCTCACGCCTCTTCTCACGCTTCTTCTCACGCCTCTTCTCACGCCTCTTCTCACGCCTCTTCTCACGCCTCTTCTCACGCCTCTTCTCACGCCTCTTCTCACGCCTCTTCTCACGCCTCTTCTCACGCCTCTTCTCACGCCTCGTCTCACGCCTCTTCTCACGCCACTTCTCACGCCACTTCTCACGCCTCTTCTCACGCCTCTTCTCACGCCTCTTCTCACGCCTCTTCTCACGCCTCTTCTCACGCCTCTTCTCACGCCTCGTCTCACGCCTCTTCTCACGCCACTTCTCACGCCACTTCTCACGCCTCTTCTCACGCCTCTTCTCACGCCTCTTCTCACGCCTCTTCTCACGCCTCTTCTCACGCCTCTTCTCACGCCTCGTCTCACGCCTCTTCTCACGCCACTTCTCACGCCACTTCTCACGCCTCTTCTCACGCCTCTTCTCACGCCTCTTCTCACGCCTCTTCTCACGCCTCTTCTCACGCCTCTTCTCACGCCTTTTCTCACGCCTCTTCTCACGCCTCGTCTCACGCCTCTTCTCACGCCACTTCTCACGCCACTTCTCACGCCTCTTCTCACGCCTCTTCTCACGCCTCTTCTCACGCCTCTTCTCACGCCTCTTCTCACGCCTCTTCTCACGCCTCTTCTCACGCCACTTCTCACGCCACTTCTCACGCCTCTTCTCACGCCTCTTCTCACGCCTCTTCTCACGCCTCTTCTCACGCCTCTTCTCACGCCTCTACTCACGCCTCTTCTCACGCCTCTTCTCACGCCACTTCTCACGCCTCTTCTCACGCCTCTTCTCACGCCTCTTCTCACGCCTCTTCTCACGCCTCTTCTCACGCCTCTTCTCACGCCTCTTCTCACGCCTATTCTCACGCCTCGCCTCACGCCTCTTCTCACGCCACTTCTCACGCCTCTTCTCACGCCTCCGGTGACCGACAACTAGGAACCTCTCATTCCGGCCTCCCACAGGTATCACATCACATGGCCCAATCAGTGACGTATCATTTGTGATGTGATCCATATTATAAACCATCCTAACAGCCGGACAACCAAGAACCTGGGTAGGGTTCACATGACAGTTTAGTAAGTAGTTGTGTATTATAAAGGATTTTAAGAAGTGTTTGAGCTCTCGGCATGTGTTCACATAACGGACGTGAGCCAGGTCCAAAAGGGGCTGGTTCTCGTATCCAAGGATGTGAGCCGAGCATGCAATGGGAGTGATACGAGACATACAATCACAAGTACGAGAGTTGATCAGCTGTTAATATACAACCGCACTTTTGGTATATATACTGAAACGTGAACATGAAGAGTATCGGTTTCAATTCAACAAGCCTTCTTTCTCCAAATTCATAGAAGGACAGAGAGGATCTCAACAGCTGGTGGACACGGACAGGTACATAAAGAAGGCTAAAGATACAGCCATCTACTCTGCTTGGCGATGCCGGAAGCACTCCAAACTCCACAACCACCCTGCTGACAACGCTGCTCAACAGAAGTGTCAAGTCCTCTCCTCACTGAAGCGGAAAGCTGCTGAACAGCCCAAGGCAGTAGAGCCAAGGCGTCCGGATCTGCACAGCACTCTGAAGCGAAGACCTCAGAAGAATTCCTCCTTCCTTCTACCTTGCTACGCTGGTATGGTAACAACTGGATTGCAGACGGCACGTTTTACGTCGCCCCGAATATATTCACCCAGAGCTATACGATTCATGCTGTTATTGACCAGAAATTTTTGCTGTGAAATCAGTGGACACCTGAATGTTTAAAGTATCTCCAGAGGTTCCTAGTTGTCGGGGATATGTAATGATTGGTTCCTAGTTGTCGGAGCTTATTGGATTTCCAAATGTTAATTAGTTAACTAGGTAAAATTGACAGGTTCCTAGTTGTCCGTCAGCCCACGCCTCTTCTCACGCCTCTTCTCACGCCTCTTCTCACGCCTCTTCTCACGCCTCTTCTCACGCCTCTTCTCACGCCTCTTCTCACGCCTCTTCTCACGCTTCTTCTCACGCCTCTTCTCACGCCTCTTCTCACGCCTCTTCTCACGCCTCTTCTCACGCCTCTTCTCACGCCTCTTCTCACGCCTCTTCTCACGCCTCTTCTCACGCCTCTTCTCACGCCTCTTCTCACAGCAGGATCAGCTCTAGGGAGAACTTTTTGTTAATCTTGTCTCCCTATCAAGCTATAAGGCTCAAGTATATCAACTAACAAATGATTTGAGCTGTTGATGGGGGTTATTTGGAACTCGGAGCCCAGACAAACATTTTGTTATATGTGTAAATCTTATTAAAGTACTATACTATATCACCAGTAGGGTGGTTTCTTCAGTTTTCTTCATTCAATGGCTAATTAGACAGTTTAAAATAAAGCTAATTGTTTAGAATAAACTCAACGATAATGAGTCTACATCAATTATAACCAACTAGTACAAGTGTCTCCCCAAAAAACTCATGTATTTGCTTCGTAGTTTCTTGGGATTTAACTTTTAAGACTCTACATATCTAGATGACTAACCATCATGTACCGGTCCTTAATCCAACTGTTAGACTCTGATACCACATGTAGAACAAACCACCGTATATCCTCGACGTTATCACTTTATCAGTGTATCAGATGCCGGATAAGGTGTATTATCTTCACGTTAACAGATCTTATCTGCTCTATTTTCAGCAGGTCTTTAATGTTTTTCATACGTATAACTTTAAGGATGGTTGTAGCACGGTATCTACAGATCTCTTGGTACTGTTCTCCTTTTTTCTTTTTTGTAGCTCTTATCACCGCACACTATAGAGTTGAATCATGTCAAGTTCTCCTCGGCGGTTCCACGAAGTTCATACTTCGCCGCAAAGTTAATAAAGTACACAAAACAGTTAGACATTATTTGTTGTAAGTACAGCATTCGCGACTCAGACTCTGTGTGGTCCGGTCGAGAATCCTTTTCTCTTTAATGTAGGAGAGCTCCATAATTCCTGGTTATCTGATGATTTCTTTTCAAAGTAAGACAAAGATCGTGAATAAAAAAACACTATGATGGGCGATGGCATAATTCTTTTATTGATGCACGCTTTATTGGTGTTAGCAAGGAATATTTCTTGTGAGCTTCTCCATTCCCTCGTTCCAACCCCAATAATTTGTTAGGGTAATATAAAGAACTTTCAGTCAGTCTTTTCATGACTTACTGTCCCCCATATCACTTGTGTGTTTAGTTCGGTGCTGTTGTTTATGTACTCCATTATAACGGCTGAGGAGATTAAAATTATTCTGGAGAAGCGAAAGTTTTAAACCGATAACATCTACAAGAATAAATAACGGCAAGAAGATATTGTTAATGTAAAACCAACATCTGCGTTTATTATACATTTTCACAGTTATATAAATAACGGTAAGAAGATATTGTTAAAACCCACCTTATAGTTGTCGTTAACAGAGTCCAGGTCTCCTTTTACAACGTAAGAGAAATGGAACCCCAGCTCAATGAACACCGCTTTAGCACAGTGTAGAGCTGCTAGCTTTCTTTCGCCACTGGTCTAAGATCTTCAGCGACCTTCAGAATGTTTTAAGTGCTAGGGCACTATCTTGTAAGTGTATTTTCTGATTTGACCTTTCGGTTGGTACAAGTAAGACAACTATATAAATGTGATTTTAGAATAGTATCTCACTAAAAAGTGAATCAAAATATCTTCGATCATCTTCTTATGAAAGCTCGTCCTGTTTTCTGTTTGTCTTTCTCTTTCGTTCTTGACCGTCAAAACATCCGTCCTCGTCAAAACATTTATCGTAAACTTTTCCCCTGTCACTCCTGTCCATAAGTTAAACTGTAGTTTCCTGTTACCTGTGACTTGAAGTGAAAGTGATACCACGTGACTATGAGATCTGGGCTACCGGACAACTGAACCCAATTTGGACTTTTCCTAGACAGGGTAGCTTGGGAAAATAATTATAAACCCAATCAGACTACATAATTAACTTTGAAACGACAACTGAACCCAATCGTCACTAGAAATCACTAACAGTTTAACAGGTTTCCAAATACCGTTTAGCTATTTGGTTTCTAGTGCTATAATTTCGGTCTGTTGAGGTTGGTGCTTCGGAGTGGTTGGCAGATCCGGACTAATCTGCTCGTGGACAATTCTGGCGAGGGATTCTAGTTTAGGTAGTACCACGTTGATTTCGGATGGGCATGTAGATAAGGCTTCGGTGAGGAGGTTTTGTGTTGCTGGGAGGTGTTGGTCGGCAGCTTTCCGCTTCAATTCTGCTCTGAACTCTGCTTTCTCAGCTACAAAGTTGTCAGGGTCGTGGGAATGAGGTTTGGCACCGCTGGCCAAGGACTGATCTCCAGGGTCAAGGAATACATGAGCAGGACATTTCTTGATTCTGTAATTATGGCATCTCCAAGTAGAGGTAGTAGGGGTATCTCGATCCTTTCTCCGGGTGTAGAGGAAACCGTCTGTGTCCAGAAGTAGTTGAGCTCCTCTTTGTCCGCTGATGTACTTGCTGATCCGATACTGTGACCACCATCTCTCTTCCTTATCTATTGATCCGATCTGTATAACAAGCGTACTAATAGATGACAAGGTCTCAGGTGCCTTTCGATCGCGAGATCTGACTAACAAGCTTACGTGTTCACGAAGCGTGCCGAAAAGGATACGATCCACTGCTCCTCAAGCATCGAGATCCGACCCAAGGCTCGAGATCTGAACCATGGCAGGCCCTCCCAAAGCATCAGGAGTCACGAGATCTGAGTCAAGTAACTTGAGCCAAGTATCCAGAGTGCTAATGGTGCGTTCCATCAGCTTTGGAAGACATGAAACAGTGGAACTATAAGAACGCCCATCAAGATCCGTATAGACTACAAGGCTAACTTTCAAAGCTAGACGGACACGTTGTCAGAATGCCAGAGACACAGTTTCCCAATTTTTTACTGGATTAGAAACCAAACTATGGGAAGAGACTGAGAGGACGACTCCGTAAAGGCTGGATGGCCTGTGTTCTCGAGGATGCGGCTGCCAGGTGTCGATAACATCAGCAGAGACGCAGTTAAACAGTTAGCTCTAAAACTAGTGGAACACCGTAGAAGAGATGTGTGTGATGCAGGCCACTCCAACGACTAGGAGGAGACCTCTTCAATCTTCATGTAGCATGTATGTATTAATATTTTACCGGTGTAAGCACAGTGCTCCAATGCTCTAAATTACAGTGGTCATGATCTATCCTATAGTGATAATGACCACAGTCATATCACTGAAAATCCGATCGTTGGGTTCAGTTGTCGTATTTCCTTGGGTTCAGTTGTCGTATTTTCAATTTGGGTGCAGTTGTGATATGACCTGGGTTCAGTTGTCGTTTTGGGATTTAAGCTGATAGGTCACCCAATTAAGCTGATTGGGTGCCTGTTAACTGCGTGGGAACTAGGTTCAATTGGGTTCAGTTGTCTGCCACCCGAGATCTGGTTGATCTCGGATCACGTGGTATCGGGGTAATAAGATTATGTATCTCTAGTCATAGATTCCTATAGCTAAGAATTCGGTTTGAATCCTAGACTACTGGATGGAATCATGATATAACGACGATTAAAGAGTAATGAGTAAGATTGTATAATACTCTCTGGACACGAAATCCCGTGGATTCGTGGTTACAACAAATCCTCACCAACAATTTGAAAGATAATTTTATATTTGAGATTATCTTTTATGGCTTTCTTTAATGAGTGTAAATTATTTATCTATTTGAATTTGATTTCACTCTTCATTGATAATATGAACAATTAAAACTGCGATATTACAATATTTGAGGATAGTAAAACAAAAATGAAATTATTTCTTAATTTCTACATAAAAGGATTCTTTTGTGGCATTATGAAATTAAAATTTTAATTTCTGCATTGGCGAGTTCTTGCTCACCGACCGATGGACATGGGAAATCCACCACAGTCTTTTTAATACTGTG